AGGGAGAAGCAGGCCTCCAAGCAGCTGTTTAGCAGCAGGAGCTGAGGTGGAAGCAACTGAGAATAAACACATAAATAAGCACACTCCAACTTCTCTTTTCTTTTTTTAGCTCCTGCTCAAAAGAAAGAGGATGGGAACAGGTAGGTGAAGAGGGGGGAGATATTAGTGAAAGATTATAGTAAATCATCCCCCAAGTGGGAATAATTCCTTGGTTTATAAATGTTTACTGGAGGTGTTAAATTGCTTCATGAGTAACTGCAGCTTGCTTAGGGTTTATCCTGTTTGACACCTTGTCCCAGCCCATTGTCTCTGCAGGGTATTTCAGTAAGGGAAGTGGTCATTTGGAACGTTGGTGTTTTGCCTAAAGTGCACTTTCAAAAACTTACATGTTGTTATACATGCTTCTCCATTACATTTACAGATTGCCATGCCATCAATACAAAAATATTACCCAAATGTTGCTCAATGTTAAATATATAGCACATATTGTACTATACCATGTGGCACATTCTGTGAATCTTGGGAGAACCATGCGCTCAACATATTTTTCCATCTGGCTTCTACAAACCTAAACTCGCCCAATCAGTTTCTCCCATTTTTTCTCTCATCTGCATCTTTGCAGAAATTTTCAGAATTTTGCTTTGGAAGCACAAAAAAATAGAAAAAGACATTCTAAAAAAAGACCTCAATTAGATCAAGAGTTAAAATAAAAAAGACAGGGACCAGGCAGGACCTAGGGTTCCTCTCTGACACAAGGTCCCTGGAAGACAAGAAGCTGGAAAGTGACCTAGGGCCTACCAATATATCCTACATCAGTGTCCAGGGACAGTAGCTACTCCCATGACCTCCCTGGATATTATCACTGTAGAAGAACTGCAAGAAACCACCAACGCTTGTGAATGAATAGTCCTCAAGAGACAAGAAAATATCCATCTCCTAGCAATGTGCAGCTACTGTGTAGTGAGAAAGCATGGCCTCTGTAGGTTAGAAAACCCACATGCCTCTTTCAGGGGGCAGCTTGTCAATGGCCCTGTGGGGTGGGTGAACCTACTGAGGTGGGAAAAGGTGCAGCGGGCAGGGGACAGTGTCCTCACTGGACTTTAAAGAGTCTTTCATCCTGGAGCAGGCAGATGTTTTTAGCCAGAGTACACGTCTCCTGGGGTCTGCAAGCTCTGAATAGCAGGAAAACACCTGCTGCTGGGCTGGCCAGTTTCTTTCCCACTCCTCCCATGTAAAAGGATTTGCTTCCTCATGCTGTGATTGTACTGCAGCTTGCAGTGCAAAAATATGCTTTGGGAAAAAAGCACTTTCAGGTCCTGGTCTGTTTGGGATAGTGATTCAACAGGCTGCTGTCCTGTTATCAGAGTGCAGAGCACGGTAGAAGCACTGAATCAGCTGGAACCACCAGGAAAGACACTGTTAATTACAGGAATGAATGCGCTTGTATGGAGGAATCAAAGCATTCACTGACCCCACCACAGCTGCGAGTGACAAGGGCATATCACCCAGGGCGAGCAGGGTGAGACATGCACCTTCTTAGACTAACAGGCTAAATTCAGGCAAGGCCCGTAGGACCAAACACCACTCCACAGCAGAGATCCTTCCCCACAGCAAGGTTTTGTCCATACCGCTCAGCTCCTCTTCACTTCGCTGTCAGTTTTGTCACCCCTCCCCACTTGCCAGGGCCATTACTCCATGCAGGGTCCTGCCCCTCCTGGGCATCTCCTGGTCCATCAGCCATTGTCTGTGCTGTGGCATTACAGTGAGCTTGCACACCACACTGTGAGTGGTATGGCCGCCACTGTGGTAGGTCCCATGCAGACACACAAAAATGTGCTTTCTCCCCTGGATGATCAGCCCCAATGGCAAAAGAGCCAGCTCCACGGGGAGACAGGAGACGAGAGCAGTTTGATGCATGATTAATTTATATCCTTAAAAGTCTGAAATGCTCCCAAAGACATTAGTATTCCCCATGTAAGAAAGCTGTCCAGATTTTCAACATATCCCTGTCTTATTCCCACATCTACTGGAATTAATAGCTGAAGCCTTGTAAAGCCCAAAAGGCAAACCCAGGACTGCATTTAATCTAATGCAGAGGCTGAGATCATAGTTTGGGAGTCTAAGTGTTGTCAGAAGCAGAGACAGCCCAAATTCTCATTTATACTAAGACACTTTTATAATATCCTGAAAGCATAAATGCACCTCAGAGTGGGTGCAGTGCCAGCACTGACAGCCTCTTTGCACTGTGGAAACATTGGTATGAAGGGCCCTTCAGAGAAATGAAGACAAGTGAAAATGAAAATCCCATTCCTTACATCTAACCCCAGCAGAGGTGACACAGCCCAACAGCTTTCTAAGGTAAATCAGATTCCAGACGGTTCACCCTGTCTGTGTGTGTGTGTGTAGACCTGTGCAAAAGGAAGTTGTGCCTGCACTGGAAGGAGGATGAAGAATCCACCTAAGTGCTTTAAAAGCAGGCATCAGCCCACGCTTGTTTTTTCACTTACTGGACTTAGCAGTCCAGCCATTGCACCCAGAAATGACTCCATTGCTCTGCTGAAGGGGTTGCTATGTGTAAGTTGGTGAAGGATCCTTTGAGATGAATAAGTGCCATCTCTTGCTTCCTATATTTAACTTTTCACTAGGGAAGCCCTGGTGCCAATTTTACCCAAAGAAGTGCTGGGGTAACAAGGACCAACATGTGGGAGACCCCCCCGCTGCCAGCCCTGGCTGAGCCCAACACTGCTCCTGGTGCCCAGCTCATCCCCCTGCACTGTTCTCAGTCAGGGCACATGTTACAGGGCCCTGTAATAGGAAATAAATAAAATAAAAAAAACAAGAAAGCACTTGCTAGAGACTGCACGAGGTACTCCATGGCCAGCTCTTTTTCTTCTAACTCTGAAGAAAATGTGCTGAATAGGCTGATGGAGCCATCGCATACCATGGTGGAACTGGCACAGAAAAAAAACACATGCAATTTTTTAGATTTGTTAGATGATAGTCTCTCTCTCCAGTAGCACATTTCACTGAAACTATCAAATCCCGCATCCCATCCTACAGATGTGCAGAAATGAGTAGCTAAAAAAAGAGGAGGTGGAGACCCAGAATTTTATTACTGTAAAACTGAATTCTGGGAGACACACTTGTTTTAAAAATCAAGCAAGCAAAGTAATGTCTGGCTTCAGCTATGTTGTTTGCTGACTTACTTGTAGCTACTTGTTTCAAGGTACACAGCCTAGTAGTCACGGAGGTCTGTATACTGCCAGTTCCTTGCTCTCTTTAATTAACAATAATGTTTCTAAAGTGCCTTTTTTTTTTTTTTTTTAAATTTACCTGAGGCAAGTGGTTAGTGTAGGGCTTCAAGGACTGTTATACCTTCTTATTAGGGGCTTTATCTTCCAGGTAAAAGAACCACAATTCTTTCCTGGTGCAGCTCAAATCAGTTAGCACAGGGTCTAAAAGAATGCCTTAACTCCAGGGTGTCAGAAAGGATCAAGGGATCAGCAAAGAAAGAGCTTTGATTTAGATGTACAATAGGATGTCCCCAGTTTCAAGAAAGACCTAGGAGACCTGCTGCAAAATGACAGAGTTTAATAAACTAATAGATTCTTAGGTAGTTTGTCAGCTAACATAATTTCAATCTGGAGAGAATACCCCAGTGGTTGCTTTATTGCTATTGTTATTGTTATTGTTGTTGTTGTTATAAACGTTTATTATTTCATTGATTTAAAATCCACTGGTCTGTAGTATATTCACTGTCTTTCAACTAAACAGCCACGCTCTGTTGCCTTAACTTTGGAGTGTGAAGAAGGCAGGTCTCCTGCAGGGGGGCAATCCCAAATGTGCCTGTTAGCAAGATGCTGTTGTGTTTGCTTCCTATAACTTGTCAGTGGGATTTCCAAGGACTTTGAGTATTCAAAAACCACAATGAGTATTATATCTCACCATCTAGAAACATTCTGATTTGTGACTGAATATTTTGCTTAATAATTAACAGAGACCTAGTAAGTGATGGAAAAACAATATCAGCAGCAGCAGAGCTGGTGCACACGTGAGTTGAAGGTGTCCTGCGTGGTGTCTCCCTGTGGCTGGGCACCACAAGGGGTGTCTGTGGCCAGGCAGGACACCACTGTGGGTGGGATGGGGGGACTTGGAGGGAGCAGGAAGCAAGCTGCACCCATGTGGATGGGCTGAGGGGCCTCCACACAGCTCAGTAGCAGTGCGCTCTGTAATTCACCTTCTAAAGTGAAGAAGAGTTTTTATTTCTGTAACTTCTAAAGTATTGGTAGCAACGGCTGTGGAAGTTGGCTGGCCTGAGCTCTTAAACTCGCTGAGCTGGGCAGGACAGGGGCACATCAGCACAGGCTGTAAACAAACGGCTAGTGCTTGTAAGGACTATAACAAACCACGGACAATACATGCCTTATGAATTGGGTATTCAGACAAGTATGTATTTGCCAAATCCTCTTCCCACCACACAAATGCAGGTGTCCTTAAATATGCATAAATGAAAACAAAAAACCTGAACTACTGCCATTCATAAAAACATGCATTTTCATATATAAATATCCATTCAAAAAGGCTAGCTGTCATACCTGTGTATTTACTGCAAGCAGAAACACGAACACCATGCCCCAGACACTCTTGTGAAATAAATTTTGTCTTCAGTTTCAGTTTAATAGCTCAAGATCTTTCTGCCAGATGTATGAATGGCTTTGGGAGGAAAGGCACGGGAAGGAAAATGGAGATGTGAACAACCTAGGAAATGGTTCTTGGGAAACCTTCCAGCGTTGTGAGGAAGCGAACACAAGAATGCATTAACATGGTGCGCTGTCTGATGGATGCTCCAGCGGCTGGTTCACGGGACATACGCTTTATTTCACTGAGAAACAGACATTTGTGGGATGAGAGAAAGCAAATGGATGTAACAGACCCAACCTTAAAAGTTTTTAGCAGAGGCTCGTGAAATTGTACCAAAGAGCGAATGGAGACTTGTGGACCTACTAAGAGCTGTCAAGACCTGAAATGAATTGATGGACCACAGTCATAGCTAATTGACAGTGACAAGTGTTGTTTTGCACTGTTTGGACTGGAAATGACATCCTGAGAAATTAAACTGAGGCCAGGCCAGCATGCTCAGAATCACTGTTTTTCAGCTGTTCTAATAATCCCTTTCAAAAATATCCCTGCATGCTATATTATATGTCTTTATTTCTGAACTAGAAGCAAACAAACAGAGGCGTTGATTAAATGTGAGGACAATATTAAACACAGAGACGCTGTATACACCAAAAAGCGCAAAAGAATTGTACAAAAAGAAGCAGGGAGGCTAGAAAAAATGGATTGGAAATAGCAATGAGATTTCAACACGAACAAAGAAAAGCTCTTGTATCAAAGATGAAATGCAGAATTAGAAGTTGTAATGACAGAAACTCATAAAGATGTAGGCTTGGGAATAAAAGGGTGAAAGGTAGTATCAGGGCTATGTAAACAGAGGCATTTTACCGTCATACACAGATGTGACAACTTACACTGCTCTTTATGTAGCACCAGTAAGAATGCATCTAACATTAACTCCAAATCGCAGGCACTCTGCTGTCAGAAAGAAGGGGAGCAATGCTTTTGGAAAGTGAATTGGGTGCGTGATTGGGGAAGCATTGCTCAGGAAAAGAGTCCGCTTGCAATGACTGCAATTATGAAGTAATGCTAGTAGGGACAGAAATCCCCATCAAAAAGAGATATGGTATTACCTCTGAGATATACCACAGGGCAAGGCCAGAGCATTGGGAATCTCTGACAAAAAGGGTGATATTTCAGGAGCAAATCAGGCTGCGAGGATCAGGATCATGGAAAGGCTTTGTGGCTATTGCACCGGAATCAGGACCTAACACAGGTAGGCTAATGAATGCAAGCCACTGTTTACAATGAAGGTTAGTTGACACAGAAGTAGAGAAAAATCAAGAGAAAGGAAGATCCATTGTCCCTTGTATTGGGAGGCCTGAGGCTAAAAAGAACCTGAAAAGGAGGCATTTGTGATTGCATGGAAACAATGACTGTATGGCATAATGTGCAACTGAGACCTGATACAAAACCACCAGTCAGGTCAGTCTTTCCACCGCTTCCAGGAAACCTTGAAGTCATCAGGACTGTGCTGCCCCAGTTCAGATACTGGTCAGACTCTGAGGTCATCCTGCTTGCCCCAACATTGCTCCAGAAAGCCTGATTTTCAAGACAAGCTGTTGCTCCTCACCTTACCACCTTGGTGCCATTCCTCATGACCTGCATGTCCACCATGCAGCCGCCCGTGACGTAAGCAGCCAGGTTCAGCTCGGAGAACTCAGCCTGGAGTGGAGCAAAAGGACAGAGTGTTACTCAAGGGCAGCAGAGACACAAACACATGGACACAGACACAGAATTGTCTTCGGCTGGAATGTGCCTTTCCTTCATCTTTTTTTTTTTTTTTTTTTTTTTTTTTTTTTTTTTTTTTTTTTTTTTTTTTTTTTTTTTTTTTCGTGAGGCAATGGGAGATCCAATTACAGCTGATTTGCCCTGGGGAGTCTGCAGAAGTATTCACGGCTCCCACACTTGGGGTGTACAAGTATACAGGATTAGGCTTATTGCAGTAATAAGTACTGAAGGAATTAAGAATGAGCAAGCTGAAAAACGCATACAGGAAAGAATAATAATAATAAAAAGAGGTAAGGTCATTTGAATTCAAATTCCAAGTTTCCACTTGGAAACATCCATTTAGAATTATGTCTGAGTTGGCTGCCATGCCACTGGCCAGCTATAAACCTAATACAAAAGATTTAAACCTCCCTAAATAGCTAAAAAGCCTCATTATGCTGCAGGAAGGTGATAAGCAGAGAAATCCACCTGATGCGGTTTACTTATTAAGATTTTAACTATTAAAGGGTTAGCAAAGCTGGGTAGGATATTAACAGTACTGCTTAATTATTAAAACACTTTATATTTACAAGGCCGGAAATGTTTGCAAGGAATATTTAAGCTATGGGGAGCAAAAGGCAATGTGCACGGGGCGATTACGACTGCAGTGGGTGTCAGTGAAGGTTAAGACACAAATCAGAGTGATTAACTAGGCGAGAGGTGTGATAATCCTCCCTCATGGCCACTGGCTCTGCTGCCCCTCAGACAGGAATGTTTTTTTTAGCAAGACTCATGGTCTCAGGCCACTCTCAGTAGGAGGAGGATGGCAGGATTAGCTGATCAGCGCTCGACTTGGGCTCCAAATCATAACTCTGTCCTTTATGAGCAAATGAGTAGACCCAGACTAGCATAGCTTATTATTGTGCCATGCCAGTCCTCCCTTTCCAGCACAATGCAAACATACCTATATGGATTCAGAATCCTATATTAAATTAGTGCCTGTGTATGTAAATAATCAGGTTTCAATTTCTGAAACAGAAAATATAGTCTTCTCCCTTTGAACAGCTTTCCCTTCTGCCCTTCCTGTTAATGCGTTTCTTTCAGACTCAGTATGATGGAGACTGGGCAGCAGTAAAATCATCTTCTAACCAGTGGCTACCTAGTATTAGAGCACTCAGATGGTGTTGCTAATGCTTGTGATTTTATTGATATTCTTGCAGTATTTAACGTTCTTCTGATACTTGTACTAGCTGGAACCAAAAGACAGTGCCAGGAACAACTTTTATAAAAAAAAGAAGAAAAGAAAAAAGAAAAAAAGCATGTTTTATCCTCATGAACGCATGGAAAAAACTTGCCAATGGAGAACTAGTGCACCTGTAAAGACTCAGAGACCAGACGACAAATGAAAAAATCACTTCCAACTTTCTTTTTTTAAAATCCACATAATTTTAAAGCGATGACCGTGGACTGGTGACCCAATGATGTAATAAGATTTAATGTCTGCGGCCCTGTGTAAACTTTTTAAAGCAACACCCTTACATGATCTTACATCATTGTAACTCCCAATTACAATGAAAGGAGGGGGAAAATTCCTGTGGCCAAGAAATAAATCCTGCTTCAAACACATACACACACACACACACACACACACACACACAGGGAATGGCAGTAGTTCAGGTGACTGGCTGGGCTTTTTTTATGAGATTGCACAGTGCTGCCTTGGCCACAGCCATGCTTCTTCAGTGATCATATCGGATCAGAGATAAGAAAATATGTACCTCTAAAAGGCACTTACATTTTATACATTTAAAAAATCTCAGTAGATGTAGGGAGGGGGGAGTCCACCTTGAACAAATTCAGCAAGAGCAGATGCCCTGGGTACCATCAGTGTGCTCCCCAGTGGGTCAAGGCAAGCTTGCCAGCTGGCATGTGGGCTCGAGAGGCTCTATGGACTGGCGAGATGAAAGGATGGCTTTCTCACCTCTCTGTCTGGGTATGCCTCAGAGATGTCCCACTCTGAAAGCAGAGTGTTACTGAGCTGGACCTTCAGCTTCTGCAGCTGAGGGATGCATCATCTGAAGTGAACATCAGAGCAAGAGAGGAAAGTTTTAGGTCTGTGTTTTCATGTTTTTTATGCTTTTCTTCTGTAATTTTTTCCATAATGGTTTTGTAGTAAACCTTTTGCACTTTGCTAGGGGTGAAAATGGGCACTCTTCATTTGATGGGTGGCACTTACAATCTAACTAAGTCAGTCTGACAGGCGTTGCCCTGAGGCAGTCGGACCAAACAAAGCTGTGTTCAGACACCTGACGTCCAAACAGGCCTGGGAATCCCCCGAGATGGTAAATACTTCATGCCAAACTGCCAGGACCAATTTCAGGCCTGCTAATGTCAAGAGCCAGAAGAAAGGGAGAAATCCCCTTTGGCAGCCATTGTCCAGGGCACCCTGGCAAGGAGGGAGGAGTGGAAAGAGGGTCTGCAGGACTCAGCTACCTAGCCCCTGAAACATCCAGATATACAATCACAGCTGAGGCACAATCCTAATCTTTTCCTGGCATTTGGTCCTGCTTTAATGGACTAAGTCAAGGACCGCTGCTGCTTTCATGTAGCTGCTTTGTCCCATCCAACAGGCCGCTGCTAGCTGGCGTTTGGAAGAAGGCTGAAAACTTCAGTCAGCAGAAATTGTTTCCTGTTGATTTTCCAGTGCTCCCTGTATTTTTAACTTTGTGGGTTTTGTAGCCTGATGACTTCCCTTGGCTGGGATTTAAAGTCTGAGATCATCTCCAGCCTGAGTTTACCTTGCAGACAAAGAGGTCTTTGAAAGCAGCCCATGCAGATACAGTGACAGGTAACTATGCATAAAACAGGAGAGCGCAGCTCCCTGTGGCCTTGCGGAGTCATTTGCGTTAAGACTCATCGAATAGAAGAAGGCATTACATTAGACTGATGGTGTTTTATACTTGCTTTGCAATGGTGCCAGTGGCTGCAAAAACATTTAGGGCAAGAGTGAACCATGTGTGACAAACGTGACACAATCCATCTTGAAGGATAATGTAATACAGACTGTGGGAGCAGAAATATTTTGTACCTCTGTGAGGCCCAGATTTGGGAAGATGCCCACAGATATTTTGAAGGATAGTTCTGTTAAAAATGCCTATTTCAGGTATTCAGATTCAGAAATCTCTCCAGAACATTTGGACTAAATCTTAAGCTACTCAGCTTCTCCCATCAGTGTGCTCTAGGTGCTGGAAATCTTTTTGGTGAGCTACTTTAGAGTTTCTGTTTCTGTTTGCTGATGATAAAACAAGGAGGATTTTGTAATTTTAAATCATGCGATAGTAGAAATGCCTGGCTTGGTAGCCATACCTTTTAATGCTGCATGGGAGGCGTATGTTCAAGGTGAATTTTAAGCATTTTTTATAGAATAACAGAAAGTTGGCTTGGAAGGACCTCAAGACATCACACAGTTTATCTCTCTTTTCTAAGGCAGGATCAGCTCTACCTCTGCCATTGTGTGCAGATACTACATAACCTTCTTGTATCTTCCACAGATGAGGGACCTCCTCAGGCAATCTGTGCCTTAACAACCTTGGAAAGGTTTCCCAATGTCCAACCTAAATCTCTCACCTTACTTTTTAAGACTGTAATTTTTTTGTCCATTACTTCCTCCTTGCAGAACCTGAAGACTTACTGCTTGAAGACTTACCCTTCCTTCTTCTCTTTTTCCCTAGACAAAAACAACCCCATTCTTGTAAGATTTTCTTGTAGGTGATGTTTTTCAGCACAGTGACCAATGTTGTTGCTGTCACTGGGATCCTCTCTGACAGGTCCACAACTTTCTTGAGTTGTAATGGCCCAAACTCACCATGGTCCTTCAGCAGAGACATAACCATTGCTGAGTAAGATGTAACGCCACTCATCTTACATATAATACTGCTGTCCATATGTTCCAGTATGGATTTGTCATTTGTGCAGCAACATGCCTATTTTTAACTCATATTCTGGCTGAGATCTGCTGTAATCCTTGCATTGCTTTGTCCAGGCTACTGACTTGTCTTCAGTTCCCCATATTGTGCATTTGCCATTGATGACTGATGCATAAGGGGAAGATTTGTCAATGTCTATAAAAACCTGATGGGAGGTAGTAAAGAAGATGGAGATGGGCACAAAATGAAATACACTAAATTCAATGTAAACACAAGAAAACACCCTTTTTATTGTAAAGATGGTCAAACACTGGAACAGGTTGCCCAGAGAGGCTGTGGAGTCTCCATCCCTGGAGATACTAAAACATTTATTGGCCATGGTCTTGGGCATCCTGCTTTAGGTGAACTTGCTCAGAGCAGGTTATTGGACTACGAGATGTCCAGATGTGCCTTCCAGCCTCAACTGTACTGTGATAAGTTTGGTATCTGGCAGATGTCCTTATGAAACTTCTCCCTGCATGTCAAGGGGAAACACCAGGAAAGCATCCCAGTTTGCTCCTTGAGCAGATGCTGAGGGTCAGTTCATCTTCGTTGTGGCACAGGAACGCAGGAATAGGGATGCAAGACAGCTTTTTGGATTTGTGTTTTGGGGGCATGATGGCTGATTTTTTTTTTTTTAAAGCAAACAGGCTTAGTGTGTCCATGCAGCAACAAGCACATTGGGTTTTTTTTAGCTACTGAACTTTCTAAGCCCTCATCTGTACGTAGCCTAACTAAAAGCTACTCAGGTTGGTTATTGCTTAAAAGGGAGACACAAAGTTATATTAGACTCTTGTGTGATCATTTGCATACATACCTCCGTTTGCATATATACCGCACATACACGTAAATAGCAGAGGGGTTTTAGCACTGCCAGGGAACCTTTGCACTTTCCTCAGTGTAACACACCATGTGCTGTAACACACACACTGGCATTTGGGGGGTTATTCCATCACATAAATCATAGCACTGAGCTACCACTACAACATG